CTAATTTTCGGAAAGTCCCATGTGTCAAGCCCCCTGATAAAAGGAAGAGAGCCTCTTGTCAAGAAAGCAAGAGCGGCTTTTGAAAGGAGTCGGCGCGGCAGAACGGCATAGACATTTTTATCCTGTCTCATGCTATACTAGACTACTCAGTCATTCTCTACTATACTCTGCAAAACGCTATCATGTACCATACCATACTATACTGTACTATACTATACGATACTATACTATGCTATACTGTACTGCACATACTATACCATATGCTCTACTACACTAGCTCGCAAAGGGAGGACATCAATCAGCAACCTCTTGAAGCCCATGGTTGGGGCCTAGTAGGTTACAGCACAGAAGAAAAATGCGGACGAAGTAAAAATACTGGAACCGCAATAGCAGAAGACGCAGCACGCAAGAGCAGCCGCTATGACAAGAGGGGATACGTGTGCGGGTATACTGAAGAAGACAGCGCGAGCCCATCCGTTTTTCCCGTCAGTTTGGTTGTTCACGTCGCCTTTTCAAGCTTTCCAAACCGCGAACCCAACTGCACCTCGCGGTTCTCTTGAGGGTACTCCACTGCAGGGTTTCGGGCTTAAGGCTTCCTCCTCCTGCGTCCAGTGGAGCGCCGGTTTTCCGTTGAGGCAAAGCTACACTTGAGACCGTCAGGGCAATTTCGAGGCGTACCCTTTGCAGGCGGGATGTGCACAAGTTTTGCAAACACATGTAATTTGTCATCTATTTGGTCACTTGTTGATTCGAAGTTTTGTATGCATGTATGTACAGAAGGCACAGTATCAGCAGCATCTATACCACCAAGAGCTGGTTAGGCAGTGGAATTGCTCCAGGCAGCTGGCACTTCTTGGCTTATGGTTTGGGGCTAGTGCTGCTCATGTGCGTCTCGAACTACCTATAGTCTCCATTGTAGTTCCTTTTTGGGGTTACCTTTTGGGATCCTTAGTACAAAACTGGTTAAACCAAAAACGGGAACTACCAATGGAGACTACAGGTAGGATCCTAAGGCAGTTTTGGGCAGGTGTGTTACCTCCGGCCCCATCGGCCGGCCGTGGGGGGGAGTCCCCAGGATTCCGACTTGGACATTAGACCCTAAACCCTAAGCCCTATAAACCCTAAACCCCTAAACCCTATAAACCCTATAAACCCTATAAACCCTGTAAGCCCTACAAGCCCTATAAACCCTAAACCCTATAAACCCCTCTATAAACCCTATAAACCCTATCAACCCTATAAACCCTATAAAACCTAAACCCTTAACCCTAAACTTATAAGACCCCAAAAGCACGAACTCCTAGACTTCCCTACGTGGTCAGGCCCCACCGGGCTTGAATGGCGGTAGTACTGATCTTAAGTAGCAGCAGACGAGAAGTAGCTTCGGTAGCAGAAATAGGCGGCAACACCATCTGGGATGCAAGGGCAGATGCTTTGTTAAGGTTTTATGAAATTTAGTTAGAAACCGCCAGGAACCGCGAACCGAACGGCGGGAACCGCCGGAGAAACCGAACCGCATGAACGTGAACCACGGTTTCAAAACCTCAAGCGAACCGAACCGAATCGATACATTCATGATAAACGGCAAGAGCAGCAACAGCAACAGCAGCTGCAGCGGCTGGTGGCAACATCACAAGCAACAGCTGAACTTCTGACGTCCGCCACTCTTGCAGGCCAATCTTGAAACTGTGCGATCTAGATCCCGAAGAACCGTTGAATTCGGCGATCGTGCTGCTGAGACTTCTGCGTAGTGAACGCCGAGAAGAACAGCAGAGCTGCTGGACGTGTGCACCTAAAGAAGGCAATCCCTAAAGCAGAACGATCGACAGACTTCAGCTTCTAGTTTGGGAACTTGGATTCTATCCAGACTGTGGGATAAAGTGGCCCCGTCTCCCTCAAAAGGCACTGTAAACACGGAAGCACCATATGGCAGCGTGTTCTGCTCGGCACCTTTTCTTGACGGAAGACGGATGCAAGACATCGCGCCTGATATGAGTCTCTCACTTCCTACGTCCCAGATGAATAGTACATGTTCCTGTGAATGGGTGTTGGCTGCCCGCACCTTAAAAAAATTAGCGGGGAGCAAGATTCGAGTACAGTAGAACCTGATCCCGAGACCCCCCGGGTTCAACAAATACCCCGAGGATACACAGTAGGGTTGCGATGGTTATTGCTACTTCTGCTTGACTTCTGATATGAATAATGATGATTCTTCTAGCTATTCTTGCTATGCGTCGGAACCCTAACAAGACCTGGGGAGGCTCCTAAATCAGGTTTCCACTTCTTGAGCCTCTAGGACTCTAGGGTACCACGCCATCCTCGGCGACCATTCAGGCTCCCCACAGAATCAGAATATCAGAGGGGGGAGTGGTCTCCAGGCACCTGAAATCTTTGCACAGGGAGGCGGAAGCGAAGACAGGGTCCTGCTTCTCATGCCAAGCACTCACTATGGAGATGATGATCTAAATCCGGCATTACCCATAATAAGGAATATACCACAACTCCCATAGTTTAGGGCCCTTGAGGTAATGCAGGATTTACATCATCAACAGTATGGAGATGAAATCTCTACCCTCCTTGAGGCTTGCAAGGACAGTCGTCAACAACTGTCGTTTTGAGGAAGCATCCGCAACAAGTACGACGTGTAGTCGTCAAGGCATCTCCAGAGTCGAGGAGGGTAGATGGCAGATGATGGCAGCACCGTCCGGGAACAGTCTGTCCATGAATGTGGATTGAAAGCTAGCAATCGGTGAAGCCTTTGCAGTCTGGCCTGTGCAGTCTGGCGTACACACCTGGAGCTATTTAGTCTTCTTGGGTGATTTGAGGTCTTTAGGAATCGATGATAGAGTTTAGGTGGGCGTCGGCATTTTGAGCAACTCTTCTCCTGGTGGACACATTTGACCGCTGGCATGTGGCGGGCGAACCCTTGCAGACTTGTAAGAGGGGAACGACAAAACCCCCCTGTTCGGATGAGCTGCGCGGCTGTCTGAGCAAGAGGTCCATCTACAGAAGTCCATTAACATGCGTATTCTTGAATCGCTTTCGTGCTCCGTCCAGCCGAGAAGTGCACTCTCATGAGAAGTGGCTGCTTCTGTTTAAACAAGCACCTGTGGCTTGTACCTTAGCGCAAACCCTAAACCCTAAACTAAACCCTAAACCCTAAACCCTAAACTAAACCCTAAACCCTAAACCCTAAGCCCTAAACCCTGAGCCCTTGTTGAACGAAGAAACCGAAGCACCGGGGCTCGGAATACAAATGGCTGCTCGTGTGCTCTGGCTCCAGCTGCTGTCTACCCGCTTTCGTGTATAGGGCTTCGGGTTTAGGAGTTTAGGGTTTAGTTTAGGGTATAGGGGTTTAGGGTTTCAGGTTTCGGGGTTTAGGAGTTTAGGGGTTTAGGGTCTTTGTCTCTCTGTTTCTCTGTCTCTTTGTTTCTTTGTCTCTGTGTCTCTCTGTTTCTTTGTCTCTCTGTTTGTCTCGCTTTGTCTGTCTGGCTTTGTCTGTCTGTCTGTCTGTCTGTCTGTCTGTCTGTCTGTCTGTCTGTCTTTCTGCTGCCTGTCTGTATGTCTGTCTGTCTGTCTGTCTGTTGTCTCTGTGTGTCTGTCTGTCTCCCTGTCTGTCTGTTTGTCTGTCTCTGTATGTGTGTCATTGTCTCTGTCTGTCTCTGTCTGTCTCTTTGTCTCCTCTATGTCTCCTCTGTGTGTCTTTTGTGTCTCCCCCGTGTCTCCTGTGTGTCTCCCAGGGAACACAAGCTTTCCGGAATGAAGTCTGTGTATGCCAAAGACGAACCTCCAGGCCTAGAGCACTTCAGCAGCATTGCGAGAGTAGATCGGTGACAACTAAATAGCAGGCGGACCTGGGTAGCCACACCTCTCTTGAAAAAGACACCAGACCCTCCAAGTACCCTCAAATAGGGGTATATGGTCCCAAATTAAGGGTATTTGGGGTCTAATAGAGGGTAGATGGAGGGTCTAGGCAGAAAGCACCGGGAAACTTGATAAAGACGTGGGCTTTGGTCCCTGCACAGGCCCGAACCACACTCCCGTAATCGCCATAGGAACACATCACGCTCGAGGTCCGAATGGACGCCGTGCTTAGACCTCAGGCCACGCAAGGCTCTGCGTCTTTGCCAATCCCAGAGAACCCAATACCCCTTAATTAAGAAATATACCTTAAATCATCATGTTAAGGCCCCTATAATTTAAGGTATATTCCTTAATTAAGGGGTATTGGGATCTCTGGGATGTGCCTGCTCCCGAACTGCAAGTCGCCCGGGATTGGCAAGTCGGAGTTTGAACAAAAATGTGTTAATTACTCGAATCTAGACCCGAAAGTAGTGGTAGGATCCTTACTAACTTTACAGTAGGTACGAGTACACTTCATGTATCAGGTATCCATACAGAACCTTCCTCCCACAAATTGAGGGCTGGACCGATATTATCACGTCAAAGCGCGGCAGCGGCATGTCTTCCTCTCTGGGGTTGAGGAATTTCCTCATTGGATTGAAAGTCGCATCCGCAAGCATGGCAAGGTCAATGTCCCTGGTGTCGAAGATGTCAGTTTCCTTGGCCAGAGCCCGTGACACGAGTCTCTTCACATGAGGTTGAAGGTTAAGGCCATTTCACACCCGCTGAACACTGTTCGATGAGAACTTCCGGAAGGCATGCGAGGAGGCTAGCCCACTGAGCCCGGAGCATGAATCGGCTTCTCATCGTCAGTCTTGCTGTTAGCAAAGCCCACAGCTTGAAGGTCTTGGCCTTCAGCGGCGCGTCTTGCCTTCTTTGGAGGTGTGAGCTTCTTCGTCGCCGAAGGGAAAGCAATGCGTCGACCATTCGACAAAATAACTGGCCTGATAGCAATCGCGGCAACCTCTTGACAACTGAACCCTGCACATCCCTGCACCATCGTCTGTCTAGCGGCCACGAGGCCTGCCACCCTCATGGACATTGGACTAGTCGTCTCGGAAGCATGACTGACAGGTGAGCTATACATGATCGAAGGCATTGTCACCGTGGCACCTGCACTCGTCAGGAACCATCTGGTGCATCACATTGCTGTTGCGGTAGTACCTTAGAGCTTACAAGGTGTCTTGCAGATGAATAAGTTCGCAACATAGAGCACCGGAACTGATCATCCAGCATGCACAGTCCGTAATCCAGGAGGCGCAATAGCTTGCCGAAGTCCCTGATGCCGTTTCGACCAGCACACAGACGCCGGGTCTGCATCTATGCCCCATCTGAAGCCATCGAAGCAGTTCCTCAGCTGCTTGTCGTCCGATCTCACCATCCCACCCCAACCCTATGTGCTTGGGGTTTTAGCCTTTGTCAACCACCGATTGCCTGACAAGCGCGCATGTCATTCATTGCAGAGCCGGGCGGCCAAAAATTTCGGACCGCATCGTGGCTTATGCAGTTGACAAATGCGTATCCCAGCGATTTCTTTTCCGCGAAACAAAGCGGCAGGTAAACGAAGTCGATTTTCCCGTCAAATCCTGCTTAGCAGGGGAAAATCAGGATACAGCTCAAGCATGACAGAGAACGCTCACCCTGTGGGCGTTCGACTCCCCAAAAAGGGAATCTGCAGGCTGGCAGATATTGATCACTAGCTTACCCTAACCCCCCAGGTACCTACCATATAGGGCCCTAGGGGCTCTAGTACCCTATATAGTAGGTACCTGGGAGGTTAGGGTTAAGTCCTCAGCTGCCCTGTCCCAACCTCCGCCCTCCCTCCAGTCCGGGGCGCCCCTCCATCTGGCAGTGTCTGTCGGTCATGGCGTCCAGCAAGTTGGTTGTGCGCTGGGTTTAGGGTTTAGGGTGACTGACTACGGTGTTTGCATCGAAGCTTCCGAGGCACGTGGCGCAGAGTGCAAACAAAGTCTTGCTTGATAGTTTGCGTCCGTCTTAAACTGATACACGCGCACACGCACACACACACACATATGCGCACATGAATGAATGAATGAATGAATGAATGAGTGAGTGAGTGAGTGAGTGAGTGAGTGAGTGAGTGAGTGAATATGAATATGAATATGAATATGAATATGAATATGAATATGAATATGAATATGAATATGAATATGAATATGAATATGAATATGAATATGAATATGAATATGAATATGAACATGAACATGAACATGAATATATATATATATACATGATGAATGAATGAATGCGCATATATATATGTATGAATGAATGAATGAATGAATGAATGAATGAATGAATGAATGAACGAATGAATGAATGAATGAATGAAGGAATAAAGAAATGAAGGAATGAATAAATGAAGGAATGAAGGAATGAAGGAATGTGCATATAGATATACCCACATGATACAGGGTTTTATCTACATACATATACATATTTACATACATGAGTAGTTACATACATATATATATACATACATACGTACATGCATATATACATACACACAATATCAAGGCCAGCACAAACGTGCAGCTCTACTGCTATCCTGCACTTTCTGCAAAATGTGAAGATGAAATATCACTACAAGTTGAACGACAACAAAAGTCAACAGCTTTCTAGACCGCTGCACTCGCTGACCGTAGCACCTGGGCTGGCCCTTGCTTGGGGTTTAGGGACGCTTAGGGCTCTGCGCTCGTCGTCCTTGGGCATTGAAAGCATCGCAAAGTCGCTGCCGATTGAAGTGCCATGGCCTCAGTCCGGACTGTTCAGTCGCTCTTCCATGGCCTTCAGCCGAGGACATCAGAGATTTTGCGACGGCCTTTGCACCAAGTCCGAATACCAAACAAGTGCCAAGGAAAGGCAAAAATGGTTAGAGGCCTAGCATGCTCTCACGGCATGACGGGTGTCGTGCTTGCCAAGGCCGCAGCACGTTTCTGAGCATCACAGTCGTCCACCCGGTTCCGCCTCTCTCCCCTGGACAACCACCTGGGTGCATCTGCGAACAGTGGACCAACAATCCACGCATCTGACTATAGTATGCACACAATAAGCCCAACGACTACACCAGAAAATACCCTACAAAGGATCCTTTCTAAAAAGACCCCTTACCAAGGGCGCTTTAGTTCATTGCACGTCCCGAATTCTTTGGCGACATGTGCTCACTTCAGCAGCACAAGAGATTACTTCTTCGACATGCTGTACCAACATGAACATACGCACGAGTACATGCATGTGTACGTGTCTGTAGGTCGGCAGGCAGGCAGACAGACAGGTATACCTTTATGCTTTGAGGCACAGACAGGCAGGCAGACGGGCAGGCAGGCAGACAGACATACACTTCCCCGGGGTCCGACTCTACCCCATAATGTGCTCTGCTCATGTCGTCCCTGCGAAGCTGGGCCATGTGTATCCACTGTGTATATATGTATATATTATATGTATATATATATATACACACACACACACATACATACATATATACGTATGACGCATCAACAGGGCTCGATTCGATACATCCACCATCCAAAAAAGCAAAATACAATGCACGGGCCACCACAGCAGACCTTTTTGATAAGTTGACACCCTATACTTAGCCCATAAGTGTTGTACTTTTGGGGGGAACCTCTTGTTGTTATGAGGATCCTATCGTAAGAATAAGTCAGAATGTCGCGGTCGGCAGTTACCCATAGGCCCCTAAGTCGTTCCTTTTTGGGATGACCTTATAGGATTCTAAATATAAACCCGAAAAAGGAACTAATTAGGGGCCTATGGGTACCCGATACTTCGGCCCGGGCACTGGCCTTAGGCCCGCTAGACCTTGTCATCGCGGGCGCTCACCGGCCAAACGCCAAATGGCCTCGTCCACATGGACCCAGATCCGAAACCCACCAGGGGAAACCCTAAACCCTACACCCTGAACCCTAAACCCCAAACTGTGAAGAAGCTACCGTCAACCTTCCCCACCGCTCCCACCTGCAGCGTCGCAGGTTCGCAAAGCGCTATGCCTGCTCTCCTTGTCCCGAGTCCCCGCTTGAATTGTTGACCCCTGCCTTGAAATCGATCTTGCCGGGTGGGAAGTGGAGAGATTTCAGTCGATCCGGGTCCAGATCAGACTTGACTGAACCGGGCTGCGCCGGTCGCACAAAGGAGCTCCGCGAATATGAAAGAGGCTGTAACGTCGCAGGATGCACAAGTGACCACGAAGCTACCCATAGGCCCCTTAGTAGTTCCTTTTTGGGGATTACCTTATAGGATTCTAAATGTAAACCATAAAAAGGAACTACTTTTATCTCAGTGCCCAACCATGAAGTGCTGATTTTCGAGGAAGCCCGCCTTCTCACGTAGCTCCTTGGTGCGATGGAACCCTAACCACTAGAGCCCCTAGGGCCCTATTTTGTGGGTACCTGGGGGGTTAGGGGAAACTGGTGCATATCGCATGGGGCGCATTCCGCATGAGTCTGGCACGCGAACCGCAGCAAGAGCTTCGGCAAAAATCACGTGCGAGCGGTGCATCTCCAATGGATGATACCTGAGCCGCCATGCGGTTCGCTTTCGACAACGCCCCATTCCGTAGCAAGTGCTGAGACTGCAGCGGGCAGCACCAGTGCGTGTAGAGACCCTCCAAAGACCAATGCGGCTTCGCCAAGATCGCAGCGGTCACCTCAGGGACCTCTTGGATTCTTACACCTTCTCTGCCCAGGCCTGTGTCGACCATCAGGTGCAGCCTGCAAGCTCTCTGCGACCCTGCAAAAAGCTAGAGACAGAAAGACCCCCGTGCCCCGCCTGAGCTTGGATGCACACGGAGGCCAGCGAAGTGCCTGCGTGCACTGCTTCAGTCAGCTCAGTTTACCCATAGGCCCCTAAGTAGTTCCTTTTCGGGGTTACCTTATAGGATTCTAAATATAAACCATAACAACGTTCCTTTTTATGGTTTATATTTAGAACCCGATAAGGTAACCCCAAAAGGGAACTACTTAGGGGCCTATGGGTAGTGGCAGAGAGAGCAGGGAGCATCGGGCGCCTCCTCGAGCCAGGCTTTGGAAAGCACCGACACGGTGATGCTCGCCTGCAGAGGAGGAGTAGTAGTAGTAGTAGTAGCAGCAGTAGTAGTAGTAGTAGTCGTCGTAGTAGTCGTAGTAGTCGTAGTAGTCGTAGTAGTAGTAGTAGTAGTAGGAGGAATAGTAGATCCACTTCGGGCACCCAAGGAAGATCCTCCCGAGCCTGTGTAAGCTGACAGATCACTCCCTGCAGCGGCGTCCGGTATAAGAGGACGATCGCCATTGACTTCGGAACCTGCAGTGGGGAAACTTCCTCGCCGAAGCGATCAGAGACATCACCGTACCCAATACCAAATTGACCCTAAAACCCGAAATCCATGATGCATCCGCTCTGGAATTGCATCGGTCAGCCGCGTCAGGTCTGCTGCCGGGAGCACAGTTAGGTGCAATACGGTTACATTACAGGACCCTCCTTGTGCGCATATCATACTGGAGCAGCAAGACACAGGGCGCGCAACATCCAGTTTTGATTGCTTAACGAGTTGTCCGGAGGGTGAATGATGCCGCGCGCTGTCTCGCAATGAGACCGACAAGGCGAGGGAAGGCAACTGGAGGTTGCCATAAAATGAGGAACAGTCTGTAGCATCGTACTGGATACCGCGAGCTCAGGCAGCGACCTCGGGAGAGGACCGCAACGTCAACCTTGGGATGTCACGATGGGAGCAATACTATAAAATTGGTATGTGTGTGTTTATTGTAGACATGTCATGTCATATATAATCGAGTGTATGCATGTATGTATGTGTGTATATATATATACATACATACGGAGATACAGACAAGTCATTTTCATCAGATGTTACACAATAGATGGAGGGGCCCGGGGTTTGCACGCATAGCACGGCCTTGCAGAGGCTCCGGCCCGGTCTCAACTTCGGATACGAACAAGGCATCGATTTTTGCGGAAGCCAGAACGCGGCCTGCGTCATCTGTGGCGTAGGGCTTCAGGGAAGGTATCCTCTGGGGTATAGGGTTGAGGGTCCGGGGGGACCAGCCGCTGCAAGGACATGCAGAAACCCTCACAGACTACGTACACATGTATGGAGGTATCGCCATGCAGCCGGCCTGCCAGGACGGCGCCGTGTCCGTAGGCGTTGGCTTTGAGAACTGCACCGATGGGCGGGGCATCTGCAGATCCCCTGCCACCAAGGCTTCGACCCAAGTAGATTCTGACCTCAGGGCATCTCGGGAAGACATGAGCAGGATCCGAGTGCCCAAACAAGCGACTTTCAAAGGCTAAGGTATGCGCCAGATGCAAGTTCTCCCTCAGAACACGCCCATCTACCTTCCGCTGTCTTGCTGCGAGGAATCAAAGATTGCATGTCAGAGCCTGGTCAGGTCTGCAACCGGCCTCTGCCCAGCTGCTCGGTCGTTCGCCACCAGTGAGATTGAGACAGACCCGATATGGCTCGGGGGGAGGAGATTTCACCATCCGCCTCAAAGCATCAAGCCGCAACCAGCTTCGCGGCGACCAAAGGCCTACTTAGGCTCAGGCAACACATGTCGTCGCTTTCGGATGCCGATGACCTGGCAATCAAGATCAATCAAACGTCCTCCTACTCCCAGGAAAACGAAGGGATGAGACTCCCGGCGTTCACGATCGGCGATGAGCTCAAGTGTTGCCGCAGCGTTCCAGCGGTCTGCAAGCGCAGTCCTGGTTTGCGAGCAAGCGCCACATGGAAGCCTGGGCCACGATGGACAAAGACGCTAAATCCTTAAGGCCCTAACTAGTACGGCAACAGCTTGCCAATCGCTTTTTTCCCCGGCCCTTGAGTGATGTGGTGGGGTTTCTGCCAAAGTGCAACCTCCTCAAGATCATCCGTAAATACCGAAGTCTCTGATAGTCTCTGAGGCTACTGAGGAGCAGAAGACTCCCAGCTTGAAAGCTTCGGTTTTCGGCACGCACTGGAACAGAATGCAGCACACTGCGGCTTGAGAAGTTGTCCAACTCCCAACCCTAAACCCTAAACCCTAAATCCTAAACCCTAAACCCTAAACCCCACCGAAGCCTCGGGTCTCTTCTCTGGGGCTCTCGCCACGGTCCAGCAGCCACTTCACCGGACGATGTGGGTCGTAGCTGAGATCACGAATCACACCTCCTTCGGAACCTGAGTCCCAGGTTTGTGGTCACTCAGTGATGCCAGGCTCGGGGTATCCTACCTTAAGCTTCTGACCATAAACCCTAAACCCCTAAACCCCTAAACCCTAAACCCCTAACCCCTAAACCCCTATATAAACCCTAAACCCTGAACCCCTGAGCTTCTGACCATACAGCTGAAGAATCACCGTCACGTCTCGGGATCGCTGCAGCAATCGCCGGGCACCACGGAGGACTTCGAGCTCTTGCCTAGCCGTCACTCTTAGGTTTGGTTAGTAGGGAATGGAGGAATAGCGTAATGGTACTGTTTATAGTTCCCATTCCTCCATTCCCTACTAACCAAAGGTAAGTACTCTCAGGCTCAGATCGAACCCTTGAGCAGGGTTTGGGGTTTAGGGGTTAGCAGATTAGCGCTTAGGGGATCTTAGGGGTTCAGGATTTAGGGGCTTAGATTAGCGTTTAGGGGTTTAGGGGTTTAGGGCGTTCCCAGGCGTGCCGAGGCAGCGGCCCGTTTGTATGGCTGATCAGCAAATCGATCCTTCGGAAGCTGATCAAGTCATCCAGCCGCTCCCTCTGGACCTGGCCAGAGTTGAAGATTGGGGTGTGAATCAATTATACGAGGCTTCGATGTATATTCTATAGTAACTGTATAGTAGCTTAATAGTAGTATTGTAGTAGGTTATAGTATATTACAGTGACTTTATAGTAGCTTAATTAATAGTAGTGCTGGAGTAGGTTAATAGTATATTGCAGTCCACATACGTAGACACCGCAAAGCCCCAAGACCAGACCCTCCGACGGCAGGTTGCCCGGTGGAGCCAATCTGGCCGGCGCTGCGCGGACTGCTTCAGGGTCTGCTTCCGGGTCCTCGCTGGGCCGGAGACTTTCCGCCAGAGATAAAAACCCTACACCCTACCCAGAGGCTCCATAGTAGTTCCTTTTTGTGGTTTATATTTAGGTTCTTTTTGCTGGGCTTATATTTAGGATCCTATAAGCCTAAAAAGGTAATCCCAAAAAAGGAACTACTGTGGAGCCTATGGGTCAACCCTAAACCGGGCACGTCTGGGGCCGGAGCGACCGGAGTGAAGGAGTTGGAGCTGCTTGGCTTGGCCTTGTTGGTCCTTTAAAGCCTCTGAAAAACTATTTGTAAATAGGGTCCTCTTAAGCCCAATAAGGGAAAATATAAAATATCCCAAATTAGTAAATAGGGTCCTCTTAAGCCCAACAAGGGAAACATAAAATATCCCAAAGGCCTACCTAGTGGCCTTGAGGTCCACGGAGCCCCGGGAGGCTCCCGCCGCCACGCGAAGGACCTCTGAACAGTGGCCGAAAATGTACACCAGGCGCCATCAGGGGTTTAGGTTTTAGGGTTAAGCCTAAACCCTAAACCCCTAAATCCTAAAACCCCAAACCCTAAACCCCTAAATCCAAAAACCCCAAACCCTAAACCCCTAAGCCCTAAAGCGGTGCCTCGATGACCCCGACCAGGCCGTTTTGCTCGACGGACTTTTGGAACAAAGCAGCTGCATCCGGTAGCGCTTCGAGGGCCAGGACCTGGGTCAATCGTAGCTCGCCTAGGGTTTCGGGCTTTAGGGGCTTTTAGGGGTTCAGGCTTAGTTTAGGGGTTTTAGGGGTTTAGGGGTTTTAGGGGTTTTAGGGGTTTTAGGGGTTAAGGGGTTTTAGGGGTTTAGGGGTTTTAGGGTTTAGGGTGTGTCATGGCCTTGATGCTACGCAGAGTAGGTTCTTCAAGTAGCCGCTTCGCCTCAGGCAAGGGTTGGAAAACTCTAGGATCCACTCTTATCGGTGCTTCAAGCGGCTCCACCGAAAGCTGAGCCAGGCACAATCCAAATCGAGCAATCACCAAGATTGGCGCCTACCTCGATGACCCGAACCTGTCAGTTTCAAAGACTGTCGGCTTCCGTGAAGACGAAATGGACCCTAGAACGGCTTAAGGCTCACATATACCATATAGGGATTCATATTATAAGGGGGTAGGGCCCCTACTTTTTAGGGTAATTTGGTCCGTACGGTTCTTGAAAGCGGAACAGCGAGGGCCGCCTTGTGAGCCCCTGCACGCTGTAACCGCTTCGCCAACTTCTGCACCTCGCGCAGAATGGACTCCTTGCCAGCGTTGGGGGTTAAACCCTTAACCCCTAAAGCCCTAAACCCTAAACCCCTTAAAGCCTAAACCCCTAAACCCTAAACCCCTAAAGCCTAAACTCCTAAACTCTTAGGGTTTAGGGTTTCTTGCCAGCGGAGCTGAGTGTGGGAGCGCTACTATAGGTCACTCAGTGCAGTGACGCGAGCAAACAGCGAGAAACCTTGATCTTGAGAAGACACTTGGGTAGTTCTCTAAACTAGGGTCCCCTTTTAGGTCTTTAGGTCCCACTATCGTACGGCACCCTTTTAGAAAGGAGCCCCAAAAGAGATCCCAATTTAGAGAACTACCCACTTGGGTTCAGGAGGTTTAGGACAGCAGTATTACTCGAATGGTACTGCCGGCTGTGGTCGCATTCGTTCACTGTCGTCATCGCATTTGCACCGGCTACTTCCTGCAGACACTGCCCTCGGATTTAGGTTTGGGTCACCAGTACTAGTTACTACTTCTTGTTGCTACGCCAGCAACGACTACAACTTGCAGATATTGCAGATATGGTTTGAGTATCATGACGCTGGCGAATACTTCAGCACTCTTGATACTGGTCGGGCCAGAAGTACAACACCAAGACCGTGGCGAAACAGCTCCGCGAGAGTAGCATCCAAAACCGTCAAGTCTTGGCCGATGCACGTTACAGTAGGGAACTCGTCTGGCACGTATGAAGTCGGAGACCAGCTCTCGGTAAGGGAACAGCAGCAGCTTGTAGATGATGTCCACGTCGCTTCGCATTCCAATGTTTTCGGCCTGGCCGA